TGAAGTGAAATAATATTCAGACCCCAGCTGTTTATCTAGTTAAAAAGACTCGCTAGATCTATTAAGACAATATAAGTTAATGAACAATAATTATCATGTTTACTAATCTGCACGAATTTGGTCACAACTGCATACTTTTTAGGTCCGGCATTATTTGCGTTAAAGTAATACTTAAGCATTTATGCTGTGCTGTGGTACTGCATGGAATAAGCGGTTGCCTGTAGACCAATGTATCATTGTTTTTAAGGCGTCCTGCCTTGGACGCTTAGGCGATAAGGCGCCCTGGTAGTGCCTTACAAATATGCCCGCCTTAGGCGCTTAGTCGTCGCCTAGGCGGTAGAGCGGGTGGTGCTCGCCTTACCGCCTTAAAAACAATGCAATGTATAGTATCACTATTATGAAATTATAGTATCACTATTATGAAATTATAGTATCTTTTTTGTCTTATGTTTGTTACGCAACAAATATTGTGGTTGGTGATGCTGGCACATTGCTTGTGGCTGGGGATAGTTTGAGGAAAGAAACCAATATTACTGTTCCACCAGATTCTTCTACAAAGTTGTTATGTAGCTGCAATTTATGACATTTCGTATATATAAAGAATAAATCTAGTGTGAATTCTAGACTTACATAGATTTATTCCACCAGATATGATGTGATTCTAGGGTTCTCAGAGGCAATATTTGGAACAGAAAAAGATATCATATTATCCCATTTGGAGACTTGTGATGCTTGTAGCGGTTCTGGTTCAAAGGTTGGCTCAAAGGCAAAAATATGCTCCACATGTGGTGGGCGAGGGCAAGTAATGCGAACGGAGCAGACACCATTTGGTCTCTTTTCCCAGGTAACCATGGAGCATAAATGTTAAAATCCTTTGTATCATTATTCCAGATCTTAACCATGACTGCATACTGGCAACTGTGTGACAGCTTCATATAACAATAAATAGCTTTGGCCCTATATTTCATTGCAAGGTAGTGTTACAACAAAACAAAATTTAGACAAAGCAAAGTGAGGTCAAAAGCAAAGAATTGAAAATGAGATGTCATGAAACTAAGGAAAATATACTTGCACTATACACTGGGGTACAAACAAGTTCTCTTTTGTTCTAAGTGAATAAGAAGGGCTGGAAAATTACAGAAATGGAACCTCACGATTTAGAGTAGCAAGCAAGAAAAGGTGAGCAAGAACAGGGGGCTGAAACATATTTACTTCGGAATGCACCTATGAGCTTAGCACCGACGCAAGTTGTGTTCACTCCTGAATTGTTTTGGGTAGAGTTCCTTTTTATTTCAAAAATGAATAATTCTTTTTCAAGAGCGCCTCTAAACCAATTTCAATGGGTTGAATTGAAACAGCCAGAAGATGACATTTTGCACTAATTTAGCATCATGTGGAACATGACAGATCTCATGTTTGTCCATTTATCTTGTCATCCTTGTTTGATGCTAGTTGGTGCTGAGTTATATTGATTCTCTCTTGGACTCTAGTTCAATTTGATTATTTACTGCAATTTGCGATTATTACATAAGAACTTTTCTTTTTTCTTATTTTGTAGGTTTCTATTTGCCCCACTTGTGTAGGAGAGGGTGAGGTTATTTCAGAGTATTGCAGGAAATGCTCTGGAGAGGGGCGTGTTCGTGTCAGAAAAGAGATCAAAGTAAAAATCCCTCCAGGAGTTAGTAAAGGTAGCACTCTTCGTGTACGTGGTGAAGGTGATGCAGGACCGAAAGGGTAAGCAAAGCAAGATCAAACATAAAGTTTATACTTCATTCCTCAAACATTTTGAAACAATCGCAAAGTGATCATTGCGGTCTTGGAAATTATGTGGATCTTTTGTATGGTATTGCTGATCGCTTTGCTTAAGTTTACTTGTAGCCTATCTTGCATTTGTTTGGAATTAACTATCATTAAAACACGGTAATTGGGCCATGGAGTATCGCCAATGGCATTCACATAAGATGCACACGTCATTCTTGAATTGCTTTGTTGTCTTTCTGCTAGGCGAGTGGAAGTTTGTGGCCACCAGCCAGCAGCAGATTTTTTTTCTTGAGATCTCGGACTGTGCATGTGTGTTGTGCAGACACTATTTCAATATTATTTCGTATTTGTAGAGGTGTATTGCAAGAATTTATGATTTATAACACCTACAGTTAAGATTAAGAATAACTTTCAGGAAATGTTCAGATTTATTTGTTTGTTATGTGCCTTGCTTTAGCTTTCATGCAATTGTTGTAGTTCCCCATTTTCTGTTTTTTAGTTTTTATATCTTCATTGCGTGGATATCCAAATAAATCCGTGCTGAAACCCTTTTTTCTTGTGGGAAACAGAGGGCCTCCCGGAGATCTTTTTGTCTGCCTTGATGTAGAGGAGCCATCCGATATTAAAAGGGATGGTATCAACTTGTATTCAACTGTGTCGATAAGCTACATTGAAGCTATTTTGGGTACAGTTCAAAAGGTAAATCTTTCTCTTTAGGAGTTTCCTTCTCTTCATGATCATCAATTATGATATTTTCTTTCAGAAATATTTCATTGCCTTTCTTCAGTAAGCACATATTCGGTTGAATGTATGAAGTTCTCACTTTACCTTTTAACTGGTGATTAGAACCAACCCAGCAAGCAAAAATGAGATCTAAACCTTACTAAAGTAAAATAGCTTTATTGCAGTTTTGATGCAACCACCAAATTTCTAGTGGAGGTGTATGTGTTGATCACAACCCAAGTACGTGGGAGTTCATTCCCATGTTGCTGTTGCATGTATTTGGCGTATTTCCCTTGGAAACCAAAAAAATTAGTTGACAGCCACCTGACTCACAGTAATCATCAAACAGAAGAACTGATAGTGTTTTAATATTAATGCTAAGCTTAACTATGTCTTGGACTGTTCAGCTCTTATTTTAATGCTATTTTTTCCTGTTTTTTCTGTTAAGATAATTAACTCAAATCACTCAAACTTTAAATCATTGTAAATGAAATGAAAGCAAGGTTTTTCACTCTATTAGTGTGTCATTAACTCATTATACCGACCTAAGCTAAATCCAAAACCAGAGGAGGTGATACTTTGATCTTGACTCGGCGCCAAATTTTTTTTTAGCGAATCTGATGCCACATTTTTTTGAGCAAATTTGATGCCACGTTTGCCTGGAAGCAAGTCTGTACTGGCCATGGTTTTGGTTTGTTAACCAAGTTGGCTTGAGCCAGGGCCAATGCTAGAGCTGCTGTTATGCGAGGCCTAGTCAATTCTGTTTTCCTTCAACTGATTTAAGTCTTTGTGCCTTCCTTAAACCATGTATGGTTCAGAGCAAAGTGACATGTTGGTGGATGTTTGTTTCAAGTATGATGGCAATATTGTAATGGTTCTTTATCGTTAAAAAACAAATACAGTATGGTGTTGTGTAGTCATTCCTTTTGAAATTTTGTTGCAAGCAGGTCAGAACTGTTGAGGGAACTAGTGAACTTCGAATACCTCCAGGCACCCAACCTGGTGATGTATTGGTCCTAGCGAAGCAAGGTGTTCCATCATTGAATAGGCCATCTATACGCGGTGATCATCTATTCACTGTTAAGGTCTCTATACCCAAACGTATAAGGTGAAAATACACTTCCCCTCTTGAGCCTTTTTATGAAGTATACACTAGTACTCTAGAGCTACATAAGCACTCGATCCTTATTTCTCTGAACTACTGCTATACAGTGGGCGCGAAAAGGAGTTGCTTGAGGAACTTGCATCGTTGAAAAATGGTGGTTTTGCCCGTGCACCGGTGAAGCCAAAACGTAAGCATGCAATATATATGCATAGATTTGATCCTTCCTCTTGTCAGCGGAAAGTTCATTTTAATTTGGATCGTTACCAGCGGAACATTGCTGTGTCCCATCGTTGCTGCTTGATAAGGGAATAAGGAACTTTTGTAGGAGAAATTAAACTCACATGTCTGTGTTGCAGCTGTACATAAAGAGAATGGAAGCCGCGCTGCTCCAGAAGTATCAGATCAACCTGATGATGGGGAGGGTGACTGGTTGAAGAAACTTTCTGATTTTGCTGGGTAAAAATGCTGCACTTGATTTCGTTATACTGCAATTGCTGATGGGTGTTTGGTCTTGTTTACATGTCATCAATGCCAGAGGGCCTTATATCCTTCAGTATATTCTCACTGATCATATGTTGTTACATGTTGTCTGAAAAGATTTGTCGATGTAGAAATTCATGTCCAGTTCTTTTTTATTGTACTGAACCTATTAATGATTATACTGATTTTTTATTGGCTCGGTTCTGCAATCAATTGCATTTACGTTATCTCGTGTATTATGTCCTCATGTTGACCAAGTTGATTGTTGAATTCTTTCAGATCCATTGTCAACGGGGCATCCAAGTGGCTGAAGGACAACCTGTAGCCTGTAAATATTTATTGCATGATGCATTCTATTCAACACCAGTCATGGTGTTAACCAATCTGCAATTCTTCAATTAATCGGGATTCGACGAGCTGTTGCATGCACGTGTTCTGTTGAAGAGGCTCATCTTTTACGGTCTGTGGGCTGTGAAGTGGCAACGCAGAGGTTTAGTGTCAACTAATTTTATTGACGCCGTTTTTATTTTTTGAGAGGGATACCCTTGTAAAGCATGAATTTTGCTGTAGTCACACTTGTATTTCCTAGAGCATGTAACAGTCGTCACGGCCGCAGATATTGAAATCGATGAAGCTACATTCTATGTAAATACATATATATATATATATTTTTCCGGTAGATCATCTCACAGTACAACATCAGGCTGTGCAAGTGAATATTCTTGTTGCTTCAAACTAAAAATAAACGGGCACCCGTCTCCTCATTCCTCAAGTGCAATTTTTTTGCAATAGAACACAAGATTTGCGGACATAACACAATTTTTTTTTTTGCATATTCTGTTCTTGTTCGTCTTACTAGGCGTCTCGAATTGCAAAATGGAACCGAAAAAAGACACATGATGTCATCTGAACTTTGAAGGGTGTACAAGCCCTAGTCCTGTGTGGAAGTGGAGCTGAGCTTGAGCAAGATGAGGACGGCGGCCGCCATGGGCAGGGAGACCATGAGCAGCGCCTCGACGATGTTGGGCCGCGTGATATCGGGGAGCAGCACGCTGCCGTACTTCACGGCCGCCGCGCCGCCGATGGACCCGAGCCCCAGCGTCAGCAGGTAGCCGGAGTCATCCTGGTTGAACAACACATGTGAACCAAAGGGAAATCGGTTCAGAAACCAAGCAAATTTCAGTTATAGATTATGTGAATGTAGTGCTACCAGTGTTCCAGGGCGGAATGACTGCCGAACCTGAAGATAAAGATTCTGAGCAGAACACATTTGTTACGGCAGTGTGGGGAGGAGGAGCACTGACCTGCGGGATTGGACCCTTGCTGTCCGGCTCAGCCTCGGCGCCGTTGGTGTCGCGGGACACGCGAGCGCGACCGCCGGCGCGTCTCCTCGCCGAGCGCCGGCAGCTCACGCGGGAGCCGCGCCCCGGCGGCGGGGCTGCGCCGGGGCCGGAGACGGTGGCCCGGGATGGCGCGGCCACCGCGCACGCACCCGCCATGGACACGAGTAGGGCGCGGCAGGAAGCAGAGACGGGAAGGCCTTCCGCGTAGCGCAGCGCCTACGTTCGTTATCCACAGCCGAGACACAGCTTCAGCTGGCAGTTTTTTTTCCTTTTCTTTTCTTTTCCGTGAGATTGAGCATGCAGTTTTCGTACAAGTACCCGGAAAACTAGGGGGGGTTGATCTTCTGCCCCACGCTTGTTGGAACTTTGGGCATGTTTGCTTCATGCCATAGTGCCCTGCCAATTTTTGCCGAGGGGTCCACCTGTCGTGTCGTGGGTATTTAGGCCTCTCCCAATGCTTCACCTTGTACAGTTGCTAAATCATTAAATGAAAAATACTTAGCAACAACAAGCTAAGCACCTTTGCATTGGAGACTTTAGTTGCTTAGATTTTTAATGTACTTAGCACCTCATCTTAGCACTAGTGCATTGAAGGAGGTCTTAGAGGCCGCTGTTAGGCCTTGTACAGTGTTGGGTGCTTATGCACCAGTGCTTAGAGAGAGAGAGAGAGAGAGAGAGAGTGTGCTGTTGCATCACAAGAAAATTTTGTCACACAATGAGAGTCCTTCCAGTAGGTGCTTACTTGCTTCAAATGTGTAGCATCCGTGAGGGAAGGAGGGCAGTTAACTTCCCTAAGCACCGGCTGGCATCGAAGCCAAAGCTTGCTTTCATACCACTTAATAAGCACCTGTGTAAGCATCTGCCCGGAGAAAAATCGTTTTTTTCTCCGAGGCACCTGTGTAAGCGCTTGCGTTGTACATGGCCTTAATGGCTAATCCTAAGGGGTTCACCTGTCGGTGGCCCACGCCGAAGTTTAACGCAGCGGCGCGCGCCGGTGGTCTCCGGCGACCCAAAACACGGCTTGAGCTTTGTGACCATAGTACTCCTTCCGTTCTAAAATATAAGAACGTTTTTGACACTAGTGCGTTGACTTTTTTTTTTGTAGGGCAAGTATAATTATAATGTTTGCGAAGTCAATCACCATATGTTGATCGGTGGCTCCCTCGGTAATAAATAGCTTGTATGCATGCTGCCATGTTATGCTTTGCCTTTGCTTGTTTCAGAGGTTCCGTACCAGCTCTGCCACTCCCTGTTTATTTGAAAACATCAAAACTGTAGATAGCAACTAGAGTTTCTCATTCTTCTTTTGAAATGGAATAGGGCTTGTCACCTTGCTGGAATATGTAGAGTTTACTTTCTTAAGAGAAATGTCAATGCCTACTTGGCATTGACAGTGTGGCTTTATTCATTAGCATTATGCCAAGTTTTCGCTTCACTGCTCTAGCATAGTTTGTAGACACTAACTGCTACTGTTCACAATGAGAGTTAAAGAGTAACCAAGTAAAACAGGGTTGAGTAACCGAGTGTCTTTACTTCAGGATCTATGTTTTAACTCTACTAGCAACCAAAGTTCCTTCTCTGATGATTTATTTTTGATTAGGCTAGACTAGAAGGACAATTAGTGGGAGTTAGCAGAGCAAATTAGCAGGTTACCCTTTGGCTCTGTTTCACATGGCACTGGGGTTGTTCTACTGCTTGTAGATTAACATCCAGGTTAACCACTGTTGGCTGGCCACTTCTTTGGTGGCTGGCATTTTGGTTAGGCGTTCAATTCTGTTTGCACGGTTGCACCTGCTGCATTCTCATTGATGTTGAGATTATGTTGCTTGTTGTTGAATTCAAATGAAGTAGGCAGAGCCATGAACCACTTTGTTGTCACTTATTTTGTTAGTATTTTTCTTTCTCTTGTCTTGTGTTGCTAGAGAAATATAACTTGGTTCTTTGGCTATTGGTTACAAGAGGGAAAGCATATGGGATCTACACGATGTGATGAGGAGATCTATCTGGGTTGGGTTGTCGAGGAAAAGTAGGGAGGGGGAAATCCCCATTTAATAGGTCACCCTCACTGAGTGTTGCTACAATCTTGTATGTGTAGTCATCCCTCTGTAAAATATAAGAGGGTTTAGATCACTAAAGAGTTGAATGGGTAGAGAGTGCCGTCGGGGTCTACATTATTTCACGCGCAGCAGCCAAACATGATTAAAATTTGAGAACTTTGGCACTCGTAATAAAGAGAAACAAAAACAAGGACGAGAGATTAGCAAAGAGGAGGTGGTCAAACTTTTGCTCCATGACACATACAGATGGATGACACACAACTGGGTGCATGTGGGTATACAGATGGAGAGAGAGCGAACTATCAAGGAGGAGGGTTGTTGGAGAGGGAGAGAACTATCAGATGAGAAGAAGATGAATTCCAAGGATGAGGTGTTTAAATAGGCGGGCAATTACCTAGTGCATTGCGTGATGGACCATCTTCCACGAGGGAGAGGATTATCGATTTAGAATATAACACAAAAACATTTATGGAGAGTAAAACACACCATTACTAGAAACACAAAATCTTTTTTTGTTGTTCTATGTGTGTGTGTGGGGGTGGGTGGGGATGGGGGGGGGGGGGCAGGTGCCCCCCTCCCACTAAGTTTGGCCAATTCTCATATTTTTGATGGAAGATTATCACCTATGCGGACATATCCATCTGAGTTTTGATGGAAGATTATCACCTATGCAGACATATCCATCTGAGTTTTGGTGTGTCGACTAATGCAGTAGGACTCTCCCATGCACCACTCTCACGTCTCACAATTCAATTTTGTTCTTAGTCCATCGGATACGATATTGATTACAATGACTTCTATAGGTATACACATACATGAGCGCACTAATTAAACACCCTTCCTCAATCCTCATACGGATTTTACTCTCTAGTGCTTTGCTCTAACATTCGCTTTGTCCTGCTTCTCAAATAAATAAATCATGTTCATGTCTGACAGGTTTGTCCATGGAAGCGAACTACCCTACAATAGCATCAAACGCGACGATCTTCTCGGTAACATGCTTAATAAAATGCACACCCGTCAACTCGTACGATGTCATGCCAACTAGTTCTCGGTAAAGCGCACGTACATTTTGAGTAATTTTATCTTTTTTTGTATAGAGCTCCTCAGATGTCATTTGACTACCAAAATTTACAAGCCTCTCTAACATTTGTTGATGATTATTCTCACAGAGTTTCAGGTTTTCTCGAAATGTTTTGATATGTTTTTTTGTATGGGTGCACCGTGAGTGTGCCAAGGGTGGGTGTAGAAAAACCACTTTCGGGTAGGTATCATCGACCCTGTGACTCTAGACGCAATTGCATGCAGGGAAGCTCTAGCCCTAGCAGATGATCTTCTTCTTCTTCAATACTTCATCATTTCTTCAGACTCCAAGCAAGCAGGTGGTGGAAGATATCGCAAGAGGAAATCAGGGTCGCTATATATGGTCCCATGATCACAGAGATAAACCTTCGAGCTGCAACGTTTAACTACAATTTGATTTTTGATTTTTAAAGGCCGTGCCGTTAACGGCAAGCTTATAGTCTAGAAAGGTACTCTCATAATCTTGGTCCGGGACGTCATATGTGGTTGGCTCAACCCCATGCATGCTCTGATTTGTATCCCATCTTATACGTACGGACTATAATCAATAAAGCTAATTTGCTTTTTCCTCAGTAAAATAAAATAAATAAATCAATTTCCATGCATCTCAACTGACGGTACTGCATGAGTGGACTAGCTAATTAAGGAGAGACGAGTGTAGTGTGTTGGGGTGAGCCAAATGGGATGCGCTGGGCCGCGTGTGACCAGCAGCGTTGCGTGTGGTTACTTGTACTTTTTGGTCACCGAGACGAGACCCACGGAGATGAGTATGAACGAATCGAGAAGAATCTGACTTCACTCATCCACTTTCCTCTCTCCCTTCACCTACTGCTCCTTCTTCCTCTCACCCGGATTACCCCTCTGTAGCGAGTGTGATCGGTCGGTCGATCCACCTAGCTAGGGTCATCCATCCAGTGTCACCTTAATTAGGTCAACCGCACTTCACTCCGTCTCCATGGCGTGGCCGTGGCGGGTGCCGCATAAGCTGTGAGGAGGACCGGAGGGAGAGATGTTGACGACGGCTGAGGAGGCGGCCTCCGGCCGCTGCCGTCCTCCGGCCGCTGCCGTCCTCGCTCCCGCGCGCCTCCGCCGTCTGCAAGCGATGGCGCTGCCTCGCCTCCGGTCCAGCCTTCTCTCGCCGCTTCCGCCTCGACCACCGCCGCAGCCCTCCGCTCCTCGGCTTCTTCAACGGCGCTATTCCCGAGCTCTCCTTCAAACCTGCTACTCTGGAGGACGCCCCCGATCGTGTTCCGCCCGGGCGCTTCTTCTTGCGGTCGCAGATTTACCTCGGACTCATGTGCTCGGGTGCCGCCATGGCCTGGTATTAGGCGAGGACTGGTACGACCTCGTGGTGTGGGACCCCGTCACCGGCCAGCAGCACCGCCTAGACTATCCCCGGACCCGGAGTTCGATCCGACCAAATCCTTGGTCAATGGGGCGGTGCTCAGCTCTGCTGCGACTGCGGGAGACGTCCGCTACTTTCAGGTTGTTTTGTTGGTATTCCTTCCATCTAGGTGAGTAGTTGTGCACCATGACCAAGAAAAAAGGAAAAACGAAAGAATTTAATGTTTATTTGCTAATTAATAGTATTGCATGCAATGAACTAACCACTGTATGTCATATTTGGTAGTCTCAAGTTATTAAAATCATGCACACCCCACATATCTTATTGGTTGATATGTTAAGAAACAAGAACAAGATAGAAGTTAATGCACCGCGCTTAAGTGTTTTGAAATTATTTGATTTTCGTAAGATGACTTACGCACCTAGACGGAGGGAGTAGTGCGAGATCACCAAAGAAAGTTGCTCGCCCGTGTTTACTCGTGACACATTGGAGTGTGGGGTGCTCTAATGTCAAAACCAATTCCATCCGGGTTTGCTGTGGGCCCCCTTGACTCCAGGGTTACTCGTGAGCCTGCTGTGCTAGTTGGGGATTCCTTTTACTGGATACTCGTCGGTACTACTATGTTCAATCTCCTTGAGTTCGATTTGAAGACGGAGAGGCTAGCCCTCATA